CCTTTTTAAATGCTTGGGGAGATGGAGGGCTACAAACCCTGGGAAATCAGCTATACCTAATATATTATGTAGAAGTTCTGTAATCATTATTGAACTAAAGTGCATTGAGTAAGTGGATAAAATCAGTCCCACTGTAGCATAAGTCTCCAGAGATCACAGATAAAAATGCCTCGCACTTAAGCAGAAAAAGGTAACAAAATATTTCCAGTCCCAGCAACAGCATTTTCCCCTCTACATAAATAGGGAACCCTCAGGAGAAGGCAATGATGCAGCAGAGGTTGAAGGCAAAGTTAATGGTGGCGAGGTGGGGGAGCGAGGCAGTGCCTGGGGCAGGCTGGGTGAGCAGAGCCCTCCCTGGCAGAGCTGGGGGCACAGTGTGGGTCTGTGTTGGGGTCAGAAGCACAGAAAATAGGTCCTTATCTGTGGTGCCTGCCTCTGACACCCAAGAGAGCGCTGAGTATGGCACAACACCATGGAGACAGCTTTTAAAGTTCAGTAGAGAAACTGGGAATGTGAATGTGAGAGTTAACTAGAGTTTTCTTAAGTCACTGGGTGAGAAAATCAGAGTTTAGGGTTTAAGCTATATTAGAAAATAAAAGAAAATATGGAGGATTTAGGGTGTTGTCCCTTTCTCCTTCTTCCTTCTTCATCTTCTTTTTCTAAGGGTTTTTGGGTAATAATGAAGGATTGGACAAAGAAATCCCCAGTGCAGCACACAAGTGTCGGGTCATTGGGTCATTAAGAAAAATAACTCACTTGGCATTTGATTATTGGACAAATAGACTCACTTGGCATTTGATTATTGGACAAATAGACACATAAAAGACCTTCAGGGGATTCTTCATTAGCCATTTTGCACCCATCTATCTTAGTGTGTGGAGCTCCTTGTGCTCTGTGTATCTGTAACATGGATAAGGAAAGAATAAACCCAGCCCAAACACAAGAAAACAGCCTCTGTCTCATCAGTCTGGGGAAAAAGAACCCAGCTACCAACACCCCAACAGGTATGGCACGGAATGGGGAATTTGTGTCCTGGAATTACTTTATTCAAGTTTTCTAAGATCTGTGCTCTTTCTCATGGCCTGCCAATCACATTGGAGCAGTGCCATAAGCTCTGGTCCAGCTCTGTCCTCAAGGGCACCAAGGGGAGGATGAGTGAAGAGGGCTGTGGAGTTGGAACTATTACTTATTTATCTAAAGTATTGACCTGACCTCTGCTGCTGAAATGTCAGCTTTAGATGCTGGGGGAAAGGGATGCCAGAGCCAGCACCTGCTGGGAAGTAAAGGAAAGAGAGATGTCAAATGGGGCCCAAATCAGTCATTGTTTCATTGAGACAATGGTGCTGGGGCAGGCAGGAGGTGGCAAAGGCCAGGAAGGAGCGAGTACAGCTGGTGGGTGGAAAAGGAGGCAGTGACCAGCTGGCCAAGAGCCTCAAGGAACTCAGGATCAGGTGCTCAGCACCTCTGAGATGTGACCTTATTGTATTTTGTGGCCTTGAAATGTTCACTGTTAGGCCTTGCACATTTTTATTAGTGCAATGATAATCGTGTCTGTGAAGGGAGAAATGAGTAGCAAGTGATGCTTCTGTAATGTAGCTGTGGATGGGGAACATGGTTTTTGCTAAAGTACTTCCCAAAACTTCTGTCCTGTGGAACTGAGGGAGTCTGGAGCTGAGTTGGGGGCCAGGGATGCTGTGGGAGGCTGCAACCCATCTGTAGCACAGCAGCACAATGCGAATATTTGCTAGAGGACTGGGGAGCAAGGGGCAGCAAACAGGAAGGAGCTCAGGAAATCAAGTGAATAACATCAAATGTGTCTTCAGCTGCCTCATGCAATGACAGAAGATACAGGGGCTGTGGTGCTAAGGAGAGTTACATAAATGATTACACAACACAGCTGTGGCAAGGGCCTGGAGAGACTCTAAAGGGAATAAGCAGACACACAGACAAGGCCAGGGAGCTAAGAGTGAAGGCACCTCATCTTGCCAAGGTTCCTTCAATAAAAAAATTAGACACATACCCACACAAAATTACAGCCAATCCCACTGCCAGGGGCAGACCATTCAGTAAAAATTACTTCTGCAGTGGCTAAAAAAATGAAAGAAGCCACAAGGTTAGGGGATAGCAGTAAGCCATGTCATTATACACCTCATGTCATGTTTTTGTGATGACAGATGACAGTCCCCTTCCTTTGAGCACAGGGCCCATCATGGGCCACGTGTCCCACTCAGCCACACCTGGATGGGCACCCTGCACCTGCTCCTCATGCTTTGGGCTTCAGAGAGTTTTCTTCTGGCATCAGAAAAGCCATTTGTCCTCTATTGCAGTCCTGCTCCCCAGCTGAGCTCAGTTGGGACAGTGAGAACACCACTGGGGCTGCCCAGCACACTCCCCAACATCTGAGCTTGGCAGCCTCCTGCCATCCTAACAACCCTTCCTTGTTAAATGTGACTGAAACAAATTAAGTTTAAATTTCAAGCAAATCCATTGTCTCTGGATCCAAAAGGCTGAAGCAGAGCTCTTGTTCTGCTGCACCTATTACAGGTTATACTACATCCTGAATTTAATCCCTCAGCCAGCTTTGCAGACACACTGACCCAGCATCTTTGTAATGAGTTGAGCACTCACAGAGCCCTCAGCTGCAGTGAGAGCTGCCAATATTCACACCATTTGAAAGAGAACCAGGAGAATTATCTCAGACAGAAAAAAACAGATCTCTTGTGCTGACAGAATAAACACATTTGGGGTCTGACTTTGCCAGCATCTCTCCTTTCTCTAACAACTACTGGAGTGGATCTGCTCACATTTGAGATACCCAACACTTCACATTGCAAGAAGACACTTCCAGATGCTTATGTTCTAGCAACTTCACTTTCTTAAAGTAAATTTTAACTTAAACAGAAACACCCAGCATCACTATTCCTTCCTTGGAGCCTTGCATTAGGTCTGGTGTTTTCACTGTATACCAGAGAAATTAAGTTCCACTGTGGCACCCTCCATATGCCACCAGTAAAATTCCTCCTGTCCTCTCCTGCCAGAGGGGGACAGAGTGAAACAAAATGAACAGGAACCAATCCAGCAGCTGATGGATTTGTCATTTAGGAAGGGCAGAAGAATAAAAACTTTTGTAGGAGCCTCCTTCATGGTCAAGGATCTCAGCACAGGCAGATGCAGTTCTTGGAGCTGGCCTAGAACTGGACACCTAAATCCAGATATGCCCCTGAAATCCCCTAGAAAAAATATGTTTGTCCTTTGGGCAAAGAATAGACTTAAACAATGGAAATAATGAGATTAACTAGATGAACATTCAGCATTCTGAGTGTGGATCCTTTGAAATCCATTAGAGACAGAGGGAAAGGCATTTGAGTGCACCAGCATTCACCACATTTCACTGTGTAATTCCATGAATTTGTGTCTCTCCTTAATTTCAGGAAGACAATTCAGTAGCCTCTGGCTTCTATATTATTTTTTTTCTCGTCTACAGACTAGCAGAGGCAGAAAAATAAACACACAACTAGGAGCTGTATTCACAGACAGGAAGTAACTTTAATTAAATATTGTGAAAGTTGAAAAGTTTTTACAGCTTGAATTTCTGCAAAAAAATTATAACAATCTCTACAGTAGTTAGTTTCTCTAACAATAGAACTGTACAGTGTGTGTGTCTATTCAAAAAGATTTAGATAAGAAGGTGAAAGGTTAGTAGTTTCAGAGATGACTTCATTTTAGCTGCATCCTAGTACAACTGTGAGGAAATAGGCATTACTTTATGCAATCCAGTCATTGTGAAGCTTCACCTTGTTAAAACTGAAATCTGAATGTTTCCACTTAAAGCCATATTCTGTAAACAGCTGCATCTTTTACTTTGTAAAAGACAAAGGGTGGTGCGGGGGAGATTTTGAATAAATTCCCATTCATCAGATCACGATAAATAGCTGCAAAAGAACGGAATGATGCACATTGTCAAAGGCTCTTTGGACACTGGAGTAGAGACTACAAATGTGGCTAAAGTGGTGTCAGAACTGCAAGGACTGAGTGGAGCTCTACAAGAGTAATTGACGGTGTCACTGGACAAAATATGGCTTTAAATTTGATTACATTGTCGTGCTGTTGCTTATTATGTGAATTAGAATAATCACTTGGAATACAGAGAAGCAATAAACTGATGTCTCTCACATTTATTTTTTTTTCCAGTTTTCTCTTCTTTTATTTTCTCACCATGAAAAAAAAAAAAAAATCCTGTTTTTCCTTCCCTTTCCCCCCAAAGATCACACTGTGACATTCTAGTGAAAACCATTGCAAAATTCATACAGGAAGCATGCACAGTTGCAGCATCGTTGTAAATGATTTCTTGCTCGACTAGAAAAAAGTTATATTGTTTTAAGGTAACAAAACAGTTCTTTTGTGCTTTTCAATTCCTTTTTTTTTTTTTTTTCTGGTGCACAGTACAATGTACAAGTGAAATGAATATGATTTGCATTGTTAAGGCATCCAATCTGCTGGTTTATATTTATGTGAAAGACAGAGAAATATACAAGCAGACTTAAGAAAGAAAGTATTTTCATTGAGTTCTATGAAGTTTCTCCCCATATTTAATGCACAAAAATGCGTCACTCCAAAGAGGAGAAATCCCATGCATATTAATAGAGTAAAACAGCATTAGTTTTTGTTAAGCCTCAAAAGCAAAGGATACATTTTTTTTTAAATCTACATAACTAAATGCTACAAGAATAATATGCTACTTTTTGCCATATATTGGAAAAAACTTCTTAACTTACAAATAATACAAAAATAGACAATGGCTTTTGGGTGGAAATTAAAAAAAAAATGGAAGCATGGTTTTAAACAATACTAAAAAAAAAAACCAACCCTATAAATGAAATGTATTAAAATCACATTTAAACAGCTAATACAACGGTGAATGACCAAACAAATCAGCACTTTTCACATAGCAAACATACACAATAAAATAAACTTGTAGGGGACAAAAAGCAATGTACAAATTCCAAAGATAAATACATTATTTATATGGATATTTTACAAAATCCCCCGTAAAACAAACAAACAAAAAACAGAAACAAAAAGCTTTTTTTTTCTTTAATTAATTTGCAAGTATGTGCAAGCTAAAGGTAGTGAGCTCTTTTTGCAAAATATGCAGTAAAATTCTTTTTTTTTTTTTTTTTGTGATATTGAAAAACTGTCTTAAGACATTAAAATGTATAAATAGAACAACAACTTTGGCAAAAAATCACAAAAAATCTACAGTATTTATAACTACATACAAAACACAACAGCAAAGAAAAAATATCAGGTAATGCATCTTCAGAGCTTTGCTGCCTCTTTGACTAATAATTTTTAAGAACACTTCCCAGATAATGATAGCAAAATTTTTTTGTGGTAAAACAGAAGCTATGGTTTTGATTTGAAACCCACCCCCAAACTCAGGTTTCCCTACTCAAAAGCAGATCCCTGTCCTGGATAGAGCCTGGTATGAACTGGGAGGGTCGACTGATACAGGAGCGATGCCAGTGGGAGCTTGGGCCAGGAGAGATTTTGGGTGGGGAGGGTGCAAACCTCACCTGGGGCTGCCCCACGGAGCCCCAGCAGAACCAGGAGGGTTCTCAGGGGGAGAGGGGCCAGCTGGAAACCCCCCAGGGATGGCCCAGTCTGTGCCCCCCACAACAAACCCAAAGGGCAGAGCCCGGGTGAGGCCCTTGGGGAAGGGAGAGCTTGGAGGGTCTGAGATATCACCCAAAAAGAGAGGGGTGCTCACCTCCTCCTGCAGGTCTGGCATTGCATCTACTGGGTTTGCACCTCCAGAGGAAACATTTCTGATATTTCCATCCTTCCCTTCCCCTCCACCAGCTTTTTGACAAGAAAAGTTGGACCTTGAGGTCCCCTTCCAACCTGGCGTTCTGGGATGAATTTTTTCTGTTGTATAATCTACACCATTTTTCAGCCTGATTTAAAGACTAATCCCACCCCTCACCCTGCCCTCATAACCCAAAAAATATCAGCTTTCCAGGGAGTGATATCTGTTTAATCAGAACATTAAAAATGCATCCTATCAGCAAGTCACCACTGGATAACCAACATATATGAGCCGACCCTTTATTAAATGGCCATAATTCTTCTACCAAAAACTAACTGGCACTTCTATTCTGTCCCAAACAGACTTGTATGCAAATGACACCACTTTATTCTTCTTTACACAGCTTTAAAAAAAAAAAACAACAAAATTCATAAATTAAAAATGTGGAGTTCCATCTCTAGTGTCCCTTGTGTAATTGTTTGATTTATAAAAGACAAATGGTGTTGAGTTAAATCAAGCCTTAAAAAAAACCCAACAAAACACAAAAAAACAGAAGGAAATAAAAGCAAGCCCCCACCCCCTGAAAAAAAAAAAAAAAGTGGATTTTTTATCAACATACAATAAATATATCTCCCAGGTATTTGGGATGGACAACTCGAATCAACACCTTGCAATTGTGGATTGTTAATTTCAGTATTTGCAAGGATGGTGATTTTTGTTTCGTTTAAAAATCTGCAGTTATTGTAAGATCCTTCTTTATTTCTTTTTTATTTTTAAAAAGGCCTGAGTAAAAAGTTCCACTCTGGGACTTGTATCAGATTCTCTCTGAAGCAGAATTCAACCTCTTCATTAATAAAATTCTTCAAGGCAATTCTTTCACATGGGGGGAACAATCATGCCAGATATAGCTGTTGGAAGGAAAGGGAAGGGGAGGGTGGGAGAGAGAGAGAGAGAGAAAAAAGTTAATTTTCTGCATTATTAAGCAACTTTTAAAATCCTCAGAGCTTTAAACATCTACTAGCAATGTAGTCAGAGTTAACTTTATATATATCACTCATAATAGTGTATGTACACAATAATCACAAGAAGTTTCCTTCTGACGGGAAAATGATTCAAATTGCAAGTGACTTTGCTGAAATTACTGATTTTCTTGTAGAAAATCTTGTAGAAATCAGTATTCTTCCTCAATATCAGTATCAGACCCCAACTTATTTTTCTGCTTTTAGTTTCAAAACCCCCAGATGCTGAGGAGGCTCTGACTCGAGCCACACATTCTGTTACTCTTTTAGAAGCAAAGCAGCAGGGAGGGAGAGCAGCTGGAGTCCCACAGGTCAGCACTGGCCTGGCCCTGGAGGAGTGGCCCTTCAGTGTCCCCTGGCACGGGTCATTCCCCTGTGCCAGTCCCCACAAAGGTCACTGTTCACCCCTGGGACTTATACAGGCATTTTCCAGGTGCTCAGAAAAGGACTTAAACCCCCAAACCCAGTTCTGAAATTGAAATATGTGTTTAACTCCCGGGTTAGCAGGCCAGCATCTTTCTTATTCCACTTGTAGCAGACACCACCAACTACATCAAGTGAGTCATAGAAGAATGTTAATTTAGGATGTTTTCTCTTTTGCTGGCTAAGCTGAATCATCAGCATTTCTTTATTATGCTTCCTACCTGATTTTCTATGAAACCACCACCTCTCTTAGCAGACAGACATTTATGAAAAGCCAACAGGGACAGTTTTGCACATAAGTTGACCTCCAGCTCGATCTCTCTCTATTTACAGGGGACTCAGATCAGACATCCCAAGTGTCCCTGTGACACAGTGTGAGCAGGCACATCATTACAGGGGGTAGTCATGGAAGTTTGTGATGGAAACTGTAAAAATAACATCTCTAAAATGCCAGTTGTACAGTTATTTGCCAAAAGGTAGAAAACAGATTCCCCTTCAGGTTGGTGGCACTTCCCAGGCACATGATTTAAATGCTGCCTGCCATTCCAGACATCTGGACATGTAATTTCTTAAGGAAGGACTCAACCCCGTGACTGGTGCTGATTCATTGTGCTTTAATTACAGCTGCAATTATTTGATAAGAACAGAGCCAAAGTAAAAGACTCACAGATTTGGGGTTGGAGGGGGAGAGGAGGGAAATGTTTTCTCCACAAACACCACCATATGTGCAAGAATTACAAGTCTAATCAGCAAGGGGAGAACAGCTCGAGTAAACTGCACTGATTAAATGAAATAAAATGAGGGGAGAAGGAGAGAATGCAAAACACATCCAACATGTTTGCAACAGGCCACCCTCAGAGGTGGCACACTGCAACAGCATTTCAATTATTGGAATTTATCGTGTGGAATCACTGCACTGATTGTGTCCCCCCACACAAGGGTTCTTCAAGCAGCTGACAGTGAGGATAAAAGGGATACAAAAAGGAGTTAAGTTGCTTTAAGTCCTACAGGAAGACACTTAGGTAAGAAGCATAGAGGACACTTTAGGACAAGGTGTTGCTTTCCTTTAGAAAAAGTGTCTTCTTCAGAAAATATCAAGATATTATTCCAACACTCAGTCTGAAAGATTCATCAGAAGCAAATCAATTTCACCAATAATTGGTCAAGAACTGTGTCTCTTGGGACAGGAAAGCTGTCTACCCTGGGTAGGAGCCCAAAAGAAGGGGAGATAATTGCAATTCCTCCCTTCATGATTTAGACATTTCCCTGTGGTTACAGATCAGCCATGTACCTTTTGCTGTTGGAAACAAATGGCACAGGCAGATCTTAGATCCTTTTTCAAAGCATTATTGTTTTTGAAGAGCTCTGAAATTCTGAATTAAATTACAAGGCAAATGATATCTTTTCTGCCTAAAAGCTTTGATATTTCCATTCTTTCCAAGTCTTCATTTAGATCACTCCACTTTTATTCCATAAGTGCTACATCTAGTCATGCAAATTCTGCCAGCTGTAGCCTGCTATTGATCCTGAAAACAGAGATATCAGTGGGAAACACTGTAGGTATGAGATCACACCATCTCCAAAAAGGGAGGGCAGAGAATAGAAAAGCTCCCACCAATGGCCTTTATTTCTTCTATCATATACTAATTTGTATTTGCTGCCAGCAAATTACAGAAATAATGTATTAGGGGTTTTACAAAACTGCATGGCAAAGAGAACAACAGATAAGCCTGGCTGCTGTTTTAGTGAGTTCTGCTGATATCTAAGCTACATAAGGAAAGCTTGATTGCTTTCTGATGTATCCAGAAGCCCGAGAGAGATAAGACAGCCTCCTTATACATGGTTGTTTATTTAAGCATTAAGGCACAACAGGCAGTGCATCTCTGAGTGATTATTACAAGCCTCAGGTGGTGTCAGGAGGCACAGGACCAAAGGCTGTGGTTCTTTAACTCACCAAGAAGTTCAGTGATGACCTAGAAATGAACCATCTCTTGGTGTTTCATTCCTATTATGAAAACTGAATTGCTAAACAAAAATTAGGGGAAAGGCTCAGATCTGTGTGGTTTCTGGGCATTGCAGATGTGGAGATGACATAATGAGGAGGCAATCAGGCCGCTCCAGTTGTGGCCAGTGCTCTCGGCTCATTCCATAATTGCTTTTCATAACTGAGTACATGGAATTCTGTGTCTTGGGAAAGGAGAAAGAGTGCCTGAAAAAGCATTCTCCTGTTACTTGTTTTTTTCTCTCCATCTAAACAACAAGATGGGACAAGGTGAAGACAAGAAAAAAAACATTGATGTGTTCAAAAGTGCATTTTCTTTTTTTATTTCACATGGGACATATTATTAGCTGTTGCCTTTAAAACTTCAAGCATGTCAGCACTGCCAATTCTTTTAAATGCAAAAACAAATCTCCTAAATGCTGTGGTTCACATGAAAATTTTGTTTTCTCGAATTCCTGACACAGTTTGTATTCTAAAAAGTCCTAACTGAAGGTACCCAAATTCTGCTTATTAGTTCCTAGTAAATTTACAGTTTCTGCATAGCTTTTCTGTGTATTTGTGCACCTTGAAGGATTCCTCCTCCCAGTTCTCCAGTATAACATGCACTGAGGACAATGCATTCCTTCAGGCACAATAGATCCAAGCTTTTATGAATGAATTGCTTCCATTCTGCTTGCATAGAATGAATTGCTTCCATTCTGCTTGCATATAGATTTTTTTTGGCCACTGATGGTGCTATCAGCATTTTGTCCTCAAGCCCAGTGCTCCTCTCTCCAGAGGCTGAGTGACACATGGAGTTTGTGCAACCATCCTGCTCTGCACACCTCCTTCTGAACCTGGCTTAAAAAAGGATGGATTTTATTCCCCACTCGATGCCCTTTGGATAATTTGCACAGGCTCATGGAAAGGAAACAAATCTCAGGTCTGGAGGAAGCACAGTGCACACCATGGAATATTTCCCACCTCTGGCAGCTGGAGGCAGCTGGCTGCATCTGCTTAAGGAAACCCCTGGATCTAAGAGAGCGTGAAAATGCCTCTCTCAGCAGAGTGATGTGCAGTGAGGGGATCACACGGGGAGCTTTGGGCTCAGTGCTGTAAAACACACTCAGCCCAACAAGGAGATGGGCAGTGCTGGGCTTTGCAGCACCCTCAGCTTGACAGGCTTTTGTCTGCCTCACCTGCACCCACCCTTCAAATGGATTTAGATACTAATGCTGGAGAACTTGTGATGGGAGGGGAAGGGATGCAGAAAAGGAGCAGCCCCCTGATACCAGCAGTTCAATAGGCTTTCCAAAAGGCCCTGCGCCATTTGTGGAATTAATTGGCACAGGAGTACATTAATCAGTGGAAACTAATGTTTGCCCTGGTGTGAGCTAAAGTGGAAAACGCTGCTGTTAGTTTGTAATGCACCTCCTGTTTATGAAAGGGAAGGTTTGTGCCAAGCTCTGTAACGCTCTATTGCTCTCAGTAGGATTTCTGCACAAGTGTACTATGACAAAGGACAAAAAGGAAGGGAAGATTGAGTGACGTACTTCAGGAGAAGGCCAGCCCCTGGAGAGACCCTGCAGTGGAGTACTTGCTAGAGTCCACAAAAGACTGGTCTGATAAAGGACGACAACAGGGAATAAGAGAGGAAAGAAAGAAAAAGGACGGTATTAGTAAGCTGAAATATTACTTGTGTTTATCAAAACAGTAGGTCTGTGCTCGAAAAGACACAGCCTCTCAATTCAGCAGTATCAGTTGGGTTAGAGATAGGGTGGTTGCCAAACACCTGCAGGGTACAAGGTGGGCTGGGGGTGGAGTCCAGTTACTCTCTAGAGGAGGAAACTTTAGGACAGAGCCCACCAGGGATCCCCCATTGCCTTGGCTGCCCTGGGCCAGCTGGGTGCTGCTTGGAGCCTGGCGAGGCACGGCGAGCTCGCGGTTGGGAGCAGCCTGGCTTCCACCTACCTTGCAGGCTATTGCCATTGGTGCTGGTGCAGGTGGGAGGGGGGGAGGTTTGGGGTCTCACGACAGGCGCGAACGCGCTCTTCTGTTTCACCGCTGAGACCATGTTGGCTGGTGAGAAGGAGAAAATCCCGGAGGAGCTGCTACAGTTGGAGGGGAGGCTAGTGGAGGAGGCCATCGTCGGACTTGATGGCACAACTGGAGGGGAAAAAGACCCACAGAAAGGCATTCCTTAGTGCTCAATAGTAACAGGCTGCAGAAACAAGAACATTCTCATGCTTGGGTGCCCTCGATTTTTTTAGGACTGAACTGAGAGTTCAAAATGCAAATGTGCTACATAGGAAGTTCAGTCTTTAAACACAGATGTCCTTACAACATTATTTTGCTAAATAGTACAATAAATATCTTTGGTTCATGTATTTACCATCAAGCTTTCAAGCAAATTTCTCTTCATTAAAATAAAGCTAACTACTTTAATATTCAGAAGGCACTGCCTGTTTCCCCTCTTATCCAACAAAAATAAAAAAGGACCAAAAGTGACATCCCATACTTCCATTCTTCCTCCTGTTTAGAAACTGCTTAGATACACAAGTGGGCTGTGAATAATTACATATTATAGAGTAAAATTCTGATCATCTGGGCTTTGAATTATTATTTTATTTGCATTTATGTAGATAAAAATCACCTTATTTAAGTTCTTATTTGAGAATCTGATATCATATTTGTTAACACTGAGGAAATCAATTAATGGAAATTAAACGTTCAAAGTTTCACAGTCTGACAGATACAATCTTAGTCTGAAGTCACTCTGTGTCTGGAAGTACTTGCTAAGGGAGAGCAATCAAAGCACCTAAATTGAATTGCTACTATACAGCAATTAGTTTATTGATTTAATTAAGAATGCCACCTTTTAATTTTCAGGTCATGATTGAAGCGTTTTCTGATTCAATGGATTAGACATTAGCAGAATGACAGATCAACCAAGAAAACCTCCCAAAATATAAATAGAATAGAGAACCAGGGCTAGGAAGTCAAGTGCTATTCTAAAGAGGACTTCGTTCATAAATATGAAATAATACACTGCCACAGTATTTTAAATGCATTACTGGCATCTGCTTCCAAAAGGAGATGTCTCATCAATCATGTTATATTATGAATTCAGAGTGTGCAGATTCTGTGACAGTAAATCCAACTTAATAAGTAAGGTACTTTGTAACATTACATGTTACATTATTATTAGAGTACAAAAATAATCACTGGTTAGCAATTCCCAGGTTATAAGTACTAGTTGTGTGGGTAAATAATTTGTTCTAAATTTGCAGCAGAGTAGAAACCTTGGAATTAATTATTTTATTCAGAGTTCCTCTATCCTCTTTTTTATTCTGATGCAATTCAAAATAATCCATTGCTGCTGTTACACCGTTAGCTTCAGATTTGCTGTGTAAACCTTGGTACCTTCAGCAGTCAGTTTGTCCTGTCCATGCTAAAGTCCAAGCCTATAAATCAATTTATGTGTCCATTCCTTCCATCCTGATTCTGCTGTCAGCTTTCTACAGATGTCAGTGGAATCCTTTCTACCTCATGAGCAATGTCAGAGGAATCGGGCAGGTCCTGCTCATTTAATTTCTCATGTGACCAGGGACTTCTGAGCTCAGCTGCAGAAGATGCTCATAGGCCTTTACCAATAGAAATGTATTTATATTTAAACAGCTTACTAAACCTTTAATATCAAAATGCAGAAAGTTAGTTCTGCACATAAATATTTCCATGACTGGGACTGCAGACCATAAGCTCTTCACGCCGTGGGATGTATGATTTGTATGACTCACATTTCTGTGGCATTCACTGTACTGACACTAAAACACAAAATCTAAGAGCCTTTGTCACATTTTACTGACTCAGTGAAGTCAAAGTAATACTACTTAAAAAGCAAGTGGAATATAAACAACCAAGCTTAGGCCCAGTAATAATTAGTTATCTTTATAAAGGTTATGAACACATTATTTCCTTAGAATTTGCAGACAGTGTTTCTTATTAGAGCATAAGGTATGCTATAAAACTATCAGACTAAATCATGAGAGATTATTCTTTTTAAGCTCTTTTAAGATTTCCAAATTAAATAATAATAATAATAATAATAATAATAATAATAATAATAATAATAATAATAATAATAATAATAGTAAAATGGAAACAGAGGAGAATTTCTTGCAACACTAAGGTCTTCAAAGTGCATCAAAGACCAGTGCCTTGGAGAGTAAAGACCAAGTTCTATTTCAAGTGCTCAAAATAGAAAATAAATATTGAGCATCAGAGAAAATCTTCTACCTCCTTCTAATGAAAACGTTCAAAATAGAGAAAAGACATAAAATACTCACTGGCATAGGGAGAATTGGCAGCAGATCCATTCAGGAAGGTTGGAGAACCGCCTAAATTTGACATTCCAGCATTGCCATAGCCATTCATGCTTGTTGTGACAGAGTTGTAGTTTGTCTGCTGCGGGGTGGTGCTTGGCACGTAGCCGTGAGGTGACACGCTGCTGGAGTTACGAGTGAAACCTTGTGTGGGGAGGGAACACAGGCAGAAATTGGAATTAGCCCCACAACAACTTCCTACACAAACCCAGAGCACAGAGAAGGACAGGACCGAGCCCCAGCACCACCAGGTACCCAAAATGAGACCTCTCCCTGCCCAGGTTGCTGCTGGAGGAGGGAGGCTGGAGCCTCCAGAGCTCCCCAGGCAACCCACGGATGCCCTGGAGCAAAGATCAGCACGGGGTGTTAGAGGAACACTCACTCTGAAAGGGCTGCTTGTAGGAAATGGAGTAAACATGACCTACATTTTCAGAGTGAGGACTCCAGACCCACTCAAGGTATGCTAAAAGCACATGATTGTTGTTAACTCTTTTCTGATGTCACTGGCATTTAACACACCTCAGGAAATGTAGTGTATTTCTCCAGCTCGTGGGATATCCTTTGTCTTTTTGCCTTGGTCTCATCATTATGTTGGTGGGAGATGAGCATCAAATTTGACAGCAAGTTAAAATATGAATCTCTGCCTAACTCTGGAAATGGAGTTTTAGGAAACTCATATCCAAATATTCATAAGATTTTTTTCTGCTTTTCTAGAAACAGCCTCATCCTAACACTTTTTCATTCAAATGTATTTTTAAGTTGGATAATACATAAAGCTGAGCAAAGGAGAGGGCAAAATGAAAAAGGCTTTTACAAAAATGTTCTTCACCTATTTTTTTTACTTTTAACTGTGGGAACTAAACCAATACTGATTTTATTCAAAGTGAAAACCACTTCATTTTAAAAATTGGACAAGCTCTGAAAATGTCTTTTTAAATATCTGTGTTCTTTGCTAGCTGTAAAATTTATGAAAGTCTGAAACTCTAAAAAAATCACAGTTCCAATACTCTTATCTCTTGCAAAACAAACCCAAATTAAATAGATAAACATTCAAGGGATAACCTCATGTTATAAAGAAGTGCTACACAAGGCCCAGACTGAGAGATGATCCAGCTCAGGAAAATATATAAGCAAGTACTTAACGTTAAGTACATGCTGAAGCTGATTAAAATTAGTGGGATTTAAGCCCAAACACAAGTGTTACTCTGAGCAGAATGAAAATCTATTTAGAGACATGCAGAAGTGTTTTTCCCAAGTTGGAGCAGCCCCATCCTCTGTCATTCCAAGGGTCTGGGATGGGCTGCCCGTCCCTGCTCCCAGTCCTGAGCCATTCCTCTGCCACTGCGCCCCTGACTTCTATCAGAAACAATACACAGAGAGAGGAAGATGAGTCTTCTCCTGACCCTGGTTGGTGGCTTGGGAGGCTTCAGAGACATTGACAGCGAGCTGGCCACTGAAGGAATTCACTCCCATCATTCCCGCGTGGACGGAGGTGTTGGCGAGGGCGGGGAGCTGGTTGTGGTTGCGGGGGACGCTGTAGAGCGCTTCGGCGATGTCTGCGGCTCTTTTCAGGATTATTTCCTACAGGATAAGGAAAAAAATTCAGAAGAGTTACCAAAGAGACTCTGGCAAACCTCTTCTTACAGACTCAAATGAAAGAGTTCCCCCTCCAAAGGCTAAAAGGAGATGATTTTCTTTCTAAACCAGCTGGCTGAGAGAGAGCTCGTGCTTGTAGGATCTTCCTGATAAATCCTGACATCTGTGGGAAGAGAGTTGGAAGTCTCAGTCCCAGTGGCCACACTTTGTATAAAAAGACCAACTGGCAGGATGGGGCTGGAGCCTGGACTTGCCCCACCTTGGAGCTCTCTTTAGGGGAAGAGAGAAAAGTCACTGGTGGCAAGAGATAACGTATAACATTGTGCATATTACATAGGACCTGGTGAAAGTGGGCAGATGCCTCCATGGTGTTTTTACAAACACTAAATTTACACCCTTTAAAAAGAAAACAAACAAACTAAACCCCACTCCAGATATGGTATTGCCCTCTACATTTATTCTTGTCTCCCACTGTAGCATCATATCCCCTTAGCCCCAGATCTCTCTAGACATCTAAGAAATAGCCGTGCTATGGAATTGCTGAAGTAAAATGCATTTACCTGGTTATTATGTGGCATACCATAGAGTGCTTCTACTAAATCAGCAGCCCTCTTAAGTATTACTTCCTGTCAATATAAAAACAGAAACATTCTGCTGAGTTCAATAAACTCCTTGTGGGGAAAACAAATATTAGAATCTTTTATTCTCTTTTATTAGGAGCACTGTGTTTTGTAGTGTTTTTTTTTCTTTTTTTTTGCTTCCACCAGGTAAACCTTAATTGTAACAACTCTCAGCAACCACTGAATGGTGTTAAATCACTGGTTCATCCTATTCACACACACGCTTAATCAAGTCAAAAGGTGAGAATCATTGGTGCTGCAAAATAAAATACATCACTCAATTGTCTCTACCATCTGCACTATAAACCACTCATGGGTTTATTGCAGAATACAATCCCGAGGTCATTTACTAGATTACTGCAATCAATGTCATTCAGAGAATGTTATGAATCCCTTCAATGTGTTTATTTTATTCTTAATTGCATGCTGCAGGAATTGTGACCTTACCCAGCAGGCCACATTCAGAAGATACCCAATCAGTCCTGTGCTACTGGTGATGTGACCCTTTGGCTTCCTCAGCTTGTGTCCTGGTACGAGGGGTCAGGGCAGGATCCATGTGCATGGAATGATGCCCAAGAGGAAAACACATGCAGTGTGTGAGAACAGCCCAGGACCATGCAGTGTTTCCTGGAAAAAAATCCCTGCGTGGACAGCAGACTTTAAAACATTCTGAGATTCAGTTCTCCATTTTGGGCAATTTTTTTACCCTCCATTTTCTTATTTGTTCCTTTTCATTTAATATTTCTGTGAATATTTCTGGTGGTACTCAAGCTAAAATAGCATTTCCTGTGTTCTTACATTTTATGGCATCCTGATGATAATCCTAATAGAAAATATAAAAATTCATTGCAGAATTACCCTGGAAGATTTTTTCCCTTATTATTTCGTGGCATCTTTCAAAGCAGATTCCCAAATGCCCGATCAAAACCGGTTAAGAACATCCTTTGAGTAAAACAATGTATTTTTGTAGTTCCCAGCCCCTAAGTACTGCTCTAATATTCTAACATGACGCCATTCACCATGGCAGATTTCTGCAAGTAGCTTACAAAAATAGTACCAGTTCTAAGCATTTTACAGTTTTCTACAAAGTTAAACTTTTAAACTTAAAATATTTTACACAATAGCCATATTTTATACCAAAAAGAAACAGTAATGCTCAATTTTCATATACTGTAGACTCTGATCAGAAAATAGAGATATAATTGCGTTCATTTTGCTGTCACCATAACCTCTTCAAAAATCCTTGAACAACTCTTCAAATGACAAGCTTTTAGATGCATATTAGCATTTTTTTCAATTTTAAATTCTCTATAATATAAGATAAAATAGTTGTCATACTGCAGTAACTACTTATGACATATATAATGTCCTAAATTCAAAAATGAGATGGAGGATTTTTGTTCTCCCAGTAAACATTTAGGCTTGCCTTCTGCTGCACACACCCCTGTCTCAGAACACACATTTAAATTATTTTCCACATATGAAGTGAGATGTAATACATAATTGATGGGTTTTTAAATCACTACATTTGAAACAGATTCTGAGGAGTTAAGTTGCTACAGCCTTTTTCTCTTGGTGGGTTTTGTTTGTTTTGTTTGTTTGCTTGATTTTTAAGATTGGGGTTGGGTTTTGTGCTGCAATTGTTGGTTTGGGGTGGGGTTTGTTTTTTTTTTGTTTTTTTGACCACAGCAGTGAGCAGTACAATCATGGACAGACAGACACAAACAGCATCCAGGTCCAAAGGATCCTCGTTCATCACAACACTGAGGTGTTTTTAGCCTCATACTGAAGATACAAATTACAGAAGAACAGAGACGTTCTTTTTCAGTCCATGATTTTAGATGGAAAATTACTGCACAGGTGTTTGACTTTGCAAACCAGGATTTATTTCACTTCAGTAGAAATTTTTTGCAGTATATATTTCACTGATGGAAAATTAGAATGTTTATATAATGCTGAGCTAAAAACCTTAGAGTGCATCTAAAAAGAGATTGAAAACCATGTTAAAAAATGAGGTAATTACATAGAATCTTACAGCTGCTCTCCCTCATATCAAATATATTTCAGTTCTTAAACCCTGGAAGTTCTTTGATGCCATATCACATTGCATGTAAATAAAACTAATTGTCCTGATGGTTTATTGAAGCATTCTTGACAAGCAGCATTCAATTTTCTTAGCTAGTCAATGGTTCTATTTTTTTCAACATTTTCAGAGTCTATAAATTTGAGTTTCATACTTTCTCTAACGATATTTTCACACCAGAAAAGCATTTCTTGTTTATGACATTTTCAGATCATACAAAGTAGATGTTACAGAAAAACCCTCCTGTGTCAAATAGTGGTATCTTCTATTCCAGAGCTGACTGTACTGCTTAGAGACACAAACCAGCTTTAAAAATACACAATAAAATGCTGCTAAAGACTGGCTCAAGATATTAACTTCCTGTTCTCTGAATGCATCTTAAACCTTTTGCAGCTCTGCCTAAATTACGATGGAAGCTGCTCCACATACAAAGGAGCCCCTGAAGTCCTCTATGAGTTAGAGCAGCAGACCTTGCAAGGTGCTTGGATTGCGGTGACCAGAAAATTGTTCTCACCTCCATGTCATTACGCTCACAGTGAAGCAGCCCCCGAGCATGTTTGTGTTCGGGATCTAATATATTGCCTTTCAATCAGAGCTGAGAGCCACTGAACACATAGACAGAACATGACGAGCAGGTCAGGAAAGCAATAAAGATTTTACAGAGCTGTCCAAGGTGCTAAATTTACTCAATAATGGGTTTGGCACCATAGTGTTAACCTCTCATTTACTACCAGTTTGAGGGACTAAATTGAAGTAGCTGACTTCATTTACCTTGAAATGTATATTTTATGACATTATGTAAGTAGATTGAAAGGGCACTGCAGTTTTAACAATTTAAAGGCTAGAGCATGTTTAAGATGAAGCTTGAATATTTATCGTATATTGCACTTAAACTATATTGTATATTAAAATGCATTGATTAAATTTGTAAAAGGTATTATAAAAAAGGACAGCCAGTATAAGAGATCTATGCCTTTTAAAATCCAGTTGATACTTCACGTTACCATTGCAATGGTAACAGATAAACAGAGGGGTGGACAGAGCAGCAGACAGAGCAAAAAGTGAGTGAAACTCACATTCTATAAAAAGAAATCTCGGCATAAGCTCAAGGTCTGTTATTCCAGATATTCTTTTGTTCATAGAAATTCTTCTTTGCCTTCATCTCCAATGCCTAGATTTTCATAGCAGTAAGTGGGCATCATGTAGGGTCCTTCCAATTGAATATGCAAGTGGAAATATTTCCTGAGAGAGACAGAGTTTGACTAAAGCTAATATCTAATTTATGGGGGCATTTGTCAAGGAAGATCCACTTTTCTATTAATGCTAAAAGTCTGACAGCTTTTGGCTTAGAATAAAAGACTGAGCAGCATTTAGCTAGGGCTAAGTGAGGGTCTTCTTTTTTGGCATTTTGTTTCAAATGAGAATAATTTTATTTCTCTAAAAATCACAAATGAGCAAATATTGAGAAAAGGAAAGATTACTTTAGTAATTAAATATGATACATCAGAACTCTGCACTCCATGAAGCTGCACACCAAAAATCCATAGCTCATTTTTACTCCAAACAGAAGCTGATCTTCCACTGAGGGATTTTTACTTTTTTGATTTTTGAAACAGGTTCACAATTAAATATTTTGATCAAATTTTTCTCCTGAAGATAATAAGCGGTGTCTACATACCCAAAAGAGGGGCTGAGTAGTAAAATCTACTGCAAATTTTCATATCCCAAAACTACTGTATAAAAAGCATTATAAATCATATTGGAATAACTGCACCTTTGAAGCATAAAGACTGAAACTCAAACTGAATCCACTTCTGACTGAATGTACCTTGAACACTACAGCACCTCTGCATGTTTTATTGGAGGCCTGCATTCCCTTCAGAAGGATTTCATTAAGAACATGAAACTTGCATTTCAAGTTGTATCATGATGAGAACACTTTGTGTCAAGATTTATCATGACAAACACATTTTTTTGTTAGTTTTAAAAGAGAGAGGGTATTTTTTCTTGCAACATCTGCTTGCTTTTTATTCAGAAACTCATGAAAAAAAATCCACTCCGTGTCCCAAAAGGGCTGTGAGTCTGGTGAGATAAAGGGTATCTAGAGTTACACTGAGTTATTCAGCTTGAGTAACTAAATTAGATAATGTTCAAGGTACTCGTTAAGCCAAAATGAATTTTGTCAAGAAGAAGCTGACCACAATATATAACACTCATCAGCCACATACTGTATTATTGAGACCACCAAAGGATTTATGAACTCATGGAGGGCGTGGGGGGGAAGCTGTTCCAGCATCCTCTGAGGCATTTATCTTATGTGTTGTCTGGATATCATATCACCTTCTAATGCTCTTTAGCATTGTAATACAAGAGAGAGCTCGTTCATCTTCTGAGAGGGTACTTAGGGATGATGATGTCATTCATACTTCCTCGACTCTTATGTCTGACCTCCTGCCTCTGCCTTCTAACTTCCTACTCTCATGGCTACTTGCAAGAAAAAAACCCATCTGCAGACTCAAAATGCTCAGCATCAGACTCCAGTTCACTTCTTCACCTTGGAAAGGTCAAATTCTGAAATTTCTAGTCAAAATCACAGTAATTTGTGCTCAAACTTTCCCTCTGACTTTCAGTTGGTGAAACAATAAATGTGACAGTTAAGGACATGGGTTAGAAGAAAATTTTAAACTTATACTTGAAATTTTTGCATGCATTATATTTGAAAAGATAAAATTGTGAACACAAATGTAAAGACAAAACCAAGAGAGACATTTACATGAATGCCAAAGATCTAAAATGCCAGACACTGAGCTTGGTACACAAGAGGTTCAGCCTGTCCAGAACCTCCCATCTCCCCACATCAACAGTGAGCACTGCATTATTGTATCATTTTCAGCAATTATAGCTTTATAAAGACTCATAAAAG